AAATGGGCTTTCTTAGACGAGTCGCTGGCCTTACGCGTCTCGACATGGTCCGGAACAGTGACATCCGCAAGAGCCTTGGAATAAGGCCTTTGTTTCTGCAGATTGAGAAGTCAGGGCTGCGATGGCTTGGGCATGTGTTGCGAATGCCTCCAGAAAGGAAGGCTAAGCAACTCTTCTTTGAAAATCCGACCGGTAGAAGGCCCAGGGGAGGCCAAGATTAACCTGGTGCAAACATATGGAAGGAGTGTGTTCCAGACTCCAGTTGTCTTCTGCCGAAGCTCAGACTCTGGCATAGGATCGGGAACGTTGGAAGCACTGTCTGACGCGTCTGCCTCCTCGACCCGAAAGGATAAGCGGCGATGGAGGATGAAGATGAAGACGTCAACATTTGAAACTGAATAACCTTACTACAACTGAAAAACGCGTGCTCAAGTATGTACAGAGAAACAGCCCCCCTGATTCATCACAATTCTTTTTGAGATTTCCACCGTACTGCACAATTTTGCTTCTCGATCGTCAAGAAGTTCAAGTCATCATTGAAACTGGTCTGCAGTTCGAGGTTTGCAAACAGGATCTCTTAAACTATATGTGACACCAGTAGTATACGCCTGCACTGGCTGAATAACTGAGACAGTAGGCATCCAACCTTCCACGCATTCAGCAACTTAAGGTGACGACCAATATTCTCAAAAATAAAAATCGGACTTGGACTATACCGTATGATTACCAATGTTTAAGACAAGACGATTATTACAATTTTACCAGCTGCCAGTCAAATCATTGATTTCTATCAGAATATGGTTACACCAATGAGATATCAGGCGTAGACCGTTTGGAAAACGGGAGCGATTTCTTGCCTACCGAACAGTTATCGTACAAACGGCGCTTGAATGCCGACACGCCATAAAAATTGGCGCTTTGGATGATGTTATCAGCCAACTCTTTCGTAGATCAAAAAATCACCACACTTCCATTAAAAAACTAATTTACGAAATAAGGCAGTCATAAAATTTTCACCTTGCCAGGTCTGCTCCAAAAACTCGCTCAACTCCGCACTGCCACAAGTCTGCAAGATTATAAACACATGTTGTAGTGAAACATTATGATGAAACTTTAATAGCAAATACCTTTCCATCATAACATGTGCTCATCAAGAGTTGTAAGCACTGGAAGCCGAGATTCTCAACGGTTTTGTTTTTCAAAGGGACCATATGACGACTGATAGCCCGCCACAAAGAAATGCCCGACGGCCTGATAACTGAAACAGGAAATTTCTCGAAGGCGACTTTCTGAAGAAGAAAAAAATTACTATAAAAAAATCTTAAAAACTACAGTAGGAAAACTATAGCAGGAAATGTTTGATTTTATATCAAAGATGCATAACTGAATAACACCATTTCTTGACTCACAGGATTCACTAGCTGTATTCATTGAAGAAAAATTTTTCACCGGTACAATTTCATTAAATGCCGGGTACAGTTTCTGACTGAAGTCCAGTTTGTTTAACTGAAACTGAGAAATCAGTTTAAGAAAACTTGTTTTAGGCAATGACGGTTTAATGACTTTTTTCTACAAATCGAGATATACAGTGACAATTGCAGTGAATTCAAGACCGACTGTCGAGCATTCAAGTTCAGAGAAGAATGTGTCAATATTTGCACTAATTATTTTATACTCATTTATGCTGAATTAATTACACAATTCTCCATAGATCAAAATTCAACGTTCATAAAGGGAAACTCGAACAACAACTCAGGCAAGAAACAAAACTAAATCTGATGGAACGAAACTGATTTTGGCTTTTTGAAAGTCGCTTTGAAAAGAATCACGATATTCCTGTCACTGTTTGCGACTGTTCCCTCTTTTGCTTAGTATTTGCTATGAATAGAAGAAAACCGATACGACATCATTTTAAATTCCTGAAAAAAAGCGCCCATTGAATCTAACTGATTGGTACCAGCCATTACGTTTTCGTCTGCTTCAGAGTCACGATCTGTTGTTGGATCCCGAATAAAACAAAGATGCGGAAGAGCCACCTGCACCCTCTCTTTGTTGCTCACAACCAGGCAGGTCACCTGCGTTGTGCTGCAAACAAACAAATAGTCCAGATACATCTGCATCTATGCAGAAACTGAAGCACACAGAAAATCGGTGAATCAGGGATAAAACAAGCATTGAGGAACGAAAAAGTTTGAATCAAGGATCTCATGTTAATCTACATATTTATACACCAAGCACATTAAATTAAATGAATCATTATCATTAAATTATTTATGAATCTGCACCAGCTATCGTCACTCGTCCTTCCTTGTTTTACTGTTGCATTAGACGCCGTTGTGTATTTTACCTATATTGCTATATAAGTAGGCCAAGTGACTTGATCAGATTTGACAAAAATTTTGGCGTTGCATTTTAATACTCCTCAAACATGAGGCAACGATTGCTACTCCAAACGAACTTCTAATGGGGTGGGCTTCATGCAACAATCAAACGAAAACTCTTAGATATTCTTTTACACTGGACTGTTCTATATGCGAAAGGCAGTAAAAGTCATTTCTAGATGGCTGGAGCCAAAGCGTTTGTTACAATTACGGTGGTAGTTCTGCAATTTTTCGAGCAACATTAAAAGTGTAATCAACTTGACGAAGCATAATATAGAACCATTAAATTACACCTGAACGCACACCACTACAGTAAGTATATATGGCTTACGGCCAAGTTACCTAACACAAGTAATTCATGCTTACCAAAAGCTTAAGGGTAGGTATAATTCTATCTTCAGAGTTGAAAGTTAAATTGCCTTCGATAAAGGTCAAACAGAATGGAGCGAAAGCAGGCGTAGAAGTCAAGCATTCTTCAAGAGCATGTGAAAGAACCTCAACAGTTATCCCATAAAGATCGTCAGGAGACTAAAATAAAAAAAACTAATAAAAAACTTCACACTACTTCACTGAAAAGTACTCACCGGTTTGAAATCCAAAGGGAAATAGGCCGCGAACTGGTCAAAGAGTTCTTCAGTAAAAGGGCCTAAAAACGTGCAAGATAGCGGCACCATCACAAGAAAAAAAATACGCGTACGGTCCATCACATTTACGAATGGACAGCTACAAAACAATTGCATGTTTATTCGGTTTCGATTCATATTTAATGCAGTATCACAGAACTGTAGTGCGGCGTCATCTTGTCACTCTTCCTGGTTGTCGAGCCTTCCGGCATATGAATCAGAGGTATTATGGCCGCAAGGCAAGAACAAGTGAAACTAAGTACGAAATCTTGCATGAACAAGGTCTGCCGCAGGATATATACCAAAACGTAAGTGATGATTTATCATTCGACAAACTAACATTCTGCCCTAATAGGTGCATAACTCTGCCAAGACAGAGTTTCAAGGCGAGGAGGTCAGCTTCCTTGTTAAAATCATTATTGAACATATGCTGTATTACAATTTTAGTGGCTGAAATGATCCTTCGGTGATCAACAATAACAATTCAAAAGATGCTGCTACTACCTTAGTTTAAAAAAATCATAGCTATAGCAGGACTCTGCAATTCTGCAAATGCAGAAATACCGCCGTCATCTGCTGAAACGGTTAACTTTGGAAAATAGAGGCAGCGTAACAAACTGTGAAGCATGGTTTTGAGGAATTGCGTAGTATCATACTTTCGATGTTTTCCAAAAGCACATAAAGAGTACCGGTTCTTGAAACTCGCCGAAAAAAACGACGTGTTGTAACCCTGAAAAAATGCCGCATAGAACCAGCATTATACACAATCAAATTACATACAACCATGGAATGTTCCCTGACCACTTAGCAAAGGGAAAAACCTAAAACGGTTTTGGCAATCCCATGAGCGTACAATGATATTAGTAAAGAAGTATGGCTGAACCTGAGCTCGTTTTTCTAACTAGCCACACAGTTCCATCATCATCATCATCATCATCGTCCATCGCCGCTTCTCCTTTCGGGTCGCGCAGGCAGACAGGCCAGAGAGAGCTTCCAACGTTCGCCATCCTGTGCCAGAGTCTGAGCTTCGACAAAACACAAATGCAATATCGAACACACTCCTTCCATATGTTTGCACCAGGATAATCTTGGCCGTCCCCTGGGCCTTCTGCCGGTCGAATTTGCAAGCAACATTTGCTTAGCCTTCCTTTCTGGAGGCACTTACATCAAATGTCCAAGCCATCACAGTTGTGGGTTCTATATCAGGAGAACCAATGCTGTATTCCAAGGCTCTTACGGATGTCACTATTCTAGTCCATGTCGACACGCGTAAGACCAGCGACTCGTCTAAGAAAGCCTATTTCAGCAGCTTGTACCCGGGTTCGAAATTTTTCACTGACGGTCCACGATCCATGACCGTAGGTAAGCATGGGCATAAAGATCGACTAGAATACCGAGAGCATAGTTTTCAGAATGAGCTCTGTTTTAGACACAACCGGTGGGGCTAGTTCATGCAGAACGCCACTGGCTTCTCCAATTCGACGGTAGATCTCTTCCTCAAATTTTCCATCACTAGTAAATACAGATCTGAGGTACCTAAACTTCTCCACCTGCTCCACTGCCTCTCCGTTAATCTCAGGACAGCACCGGGCAGGAGAACCAGAAAGCACAAAGCTTTTCGTTTTAGATGCGTTCACACGCATGCCGGTCACGTCGCAC